GTACATATCCATCTGATTCGACATCATGAGATGTCCCAGAAGTAATATAAGCAGTAGCTGAGACCACTGATTCCTACTGGTGGTGTCCATCAACACCTACTTGTTATGGTATTTTGTGGGATCCGGACCCCTGCTGTTGTCTGGACTAACCTGTTTCACCAGTTTAGCTGTGTATATTTCTACTTACAGACTATCCTTCAGGATAAGCCCTCTCCACATGCCAGCCATCAGCCCTTAAGAGCAGACAACAGTTTATTTCCTCAGCACATTTGTTTTTCCTCTTTTTAAACCTCCTCTGTGGGACAGGCTTCTTTGCTCTTCTCAGTGGAATCCTGTCCCCATCTACTCACCTAGTGCTACACCTAACTACTACAAAGAAAATTCAGTGTGTAATTAGCTTGTAACAGCAACACATCATTTACTTCCTCATCAACATTTCATAATTATTAAGTATAACTTTCTTAGTACTGTCAATTCCACATCCTTGAAATAGTAATTTTCACTTCATCATATTTCTTTAAAATTTGCAGCAAGTGGGAGATGTTCAGGCCCTCAGATTTTACTGGTAGTCAACACGAGATACTATTAACTCAGAAGGTTTGCCTCTGCACTCTTTGTGCCAGGTTCAACCAGCAGGTAGATTCTACCAACTTGTTCATTCTGAAAGTGTTTTTTTGACTGACAACTGTTTTCAGTGAACAAAAAGTCATATTCTGTTTTGCATAGACACCTTTAAGAGATGGCAGAGGTAGAACAGCATGTTGGGGAAAAAGAACATCTGCTTAATGTCAGAGTAGTAACCGCTCACTCAGCAAAGACTGTCATTAATGTCAGCAGCGGCTGCAGCTACTACTCTGTCCCCTCAGCTGTGTTAAATGATAGGAACTAAAACCAGAGGGCTGAGGCATCAGCGGGGGGTGGCACATGGAGAAGAAGGATTAGTAGGAAATGTACACATGCATTAGAAAAGATGCCATGGAAGTTTTGCTACCACAAAACAATTTTTAAAAAATTCTATTATAATCCTTTCTGGTGACTTAAAATAGACTCAAAAAAATTCCACAGCTTACATTGGATCCTACTTTAAGCACAAACTTAAGGTAATGTCTTTTTTTCAAACCAAAATGCAACTAGGACACTAGCTAGAATGGAAATATAAAAGATTACTTAGCTCAGGTCTGATCTTACAGTGTCAGCAAAAATAAGCAAAGTAAGATCAGGACTTTAGCTGCAACTGTTATATAAAATCTAGTGCACTTGTATAGGTTTAGTAGGCTGCATTATGCTCCCTTCATACTTGTATTTAAGGAAAAAGAATAACAAAGTATTTGAATTTAGTATGCAAAGACTATAAGAAACTAAAAAAAGATACAAAGCCTGAAAGAAAGCAGGGCTGCCTCTGGGGTCTGTTATAAACCTGGATGACTGGCTTTTGAAAATATGTTGCTTGGTCATTTTAACATTAAGCTTTTTCCTGTGAATGCTGTTATCCGCTCTTCTTTATCCCAAAACTCACTACAAGCCCCATATGTTGCATTGTATTCAAAACCCCAAACACTTGAGTTTTGCATATAAGACCATGGTATTGTTCATGCTCTTGATTTAACTATCAAAAAGAGGTTTTTTTCTTATAATAAAGCAAAATTGATTCAAGATTTACAGTTGAAAATCCTCTAGCAGCATATAATGCCATGAATTAACATGTTTTGCTGACCTGGAACCATCATGTTATTTCTGGGTACTCCATTTATCAATGAGTATTAACCTAGTTATCATTCAGTTTTCTTCCTTAAGCTTCTGTTAATTACATTTTATAAAAATTAAAATATAAAAAGCTCATAAAAACATTACAAATGCTTATGATAGCCTTTCAGTTAGAGCCCTTCAAAAAACTGCAAGAAATTATCATGTCTAGCAAATTTCTGTTAGGAATGCCATCTTGTGGTTAAAAGCTGTATATAACAACGATTCGAGATAATTTTAACTAAATTTTTACTTGCAAAATACTGTTTTGGCAGAAATGAGCTATTCATGTATGACCTTTCAGAACTATAGACTATTCTTTTATTAACCATTCTGGATGAAAATGACTGTGAATATGGCTTCCCCATCCTCATCTGTATACAATGCCAATTAATTATGCAGGGAGCACTCGTTTCATTAGGAGATGGGATGCATTTATTAGCATTTTAAACAGAGCCAGATTGCCACATGTACTTAGCAAAAAAAGTCCGCTAAATGCCTACTGTAGTAGATATAATGTAGTAAATTAGTCTAAAATGCATAGAAAATACATTTTTCTCAAAATATGCTTGTAGAGCTGAGCCCTATAAGCACACTTTACCTTCTCCAAGCTATATGGAGCATCTTTGGTTGGTATATAAAGGGTTGAGTTTAACGATAAAAAAAGGAAACACTGGATTTTTCAATTTGTTTTATATAGATCTTATTACAAACTGAAAATTAAATGAAGATGGCCACTGGATTGGAACTTGTTCATAAAAGCAGAGATAAATGCCAGGTAAACAAGAAAGGAGAGAAGGGGTCCAAAAGCATCTAATAAACTTTGAAAGATCTCTAACTTTTAAAAGCTTGGAAAAATAAATAATAATTAGCTACATTCAATATAGCTGACATTTGCATAGGCACTTTCCTCATGTGTACGTTCACCTCATTTTCATAATGAAAGTATATATCGCCCAAACCATCACAACACATATTGTATAATGAAATTTAAAACTAATGAGCCATATCCTAAAAGCCATGAGTCAACTCAGGGTGTGCATTAGTAGTCCATTTGCAATTCTCTAGAGACAGAAAGAATGAGGCTAAACATATCCTGTAGCCTATTTAGCACACAGTTTGTTCTGTGTACTGATAATACTATAGCAGAACTGAGTTCACAATCTCCAGCACTCAAACCCCTGTGAAATACTGTTCATACTTCTCTTAGCATGCAAGTTACTCCTGAGGCAGCCGAACAGGACCACCATGATTATTTATTTGACCTCTTGCATAACATGGATGTAACTTGCCCAAATTATTTCTTTCAATCAAATCACATTTTTTCAGGAAATCATCTAATATGCCCAAATGAGAGAAACCTTTACCACTCTGTTGTAAGACTTTGTCTCTTCTTGTAATGTGACAATGGCTGAATCGCTTTGCTAAATGGAACAAACTTTTATTTTATTAGCAAATTTTTACTCCACAGATGGTTCCTCTAGGCTACCTCTCCTTTCACTAAACTAAGTAGATTCTGCTTACTGAGACTCTCATGACAGTGCTTCTTTTTAATCCTTTTATTGCTCTCCTGACTCTTTTCCGTGCAATTTTCCAGCATTACTGGAAATTGGGACCATTGGAGTTGGTCACAGCATTCTTCCAAAAGGTTAAACCAAAGTCAAATATAGACTGTGATATTACTTCCCTGACAGCCTTCCGATTTCTAAACCTGAGGATCTCTGGTCCTTTTAGCCACAAGGCATGCTGAAAATTCATGTTCAGCTGAGCATGCACATCATCTCCAAACACTGTTCAAAGTCAGCATTTCCTACAGCAAGTTGTTCTACTTAGTATGTTCTCAAGCCCCTGCCCCTAGAAATACAGGTCTACTTTAGGCCACAGTGAAATGCAGATTGCTTACAGCTCCCAACCCAGTCAGTCATCTTTACTCTGCTTAAGTGGCTCCTTAGATTTTTGTGGCACCCATAGATTTGAGCAGTCATTATTTTATTTCCTTCTGTGTTCTTAAGAAACTCATGGTTAAGAGCCAATCCTGTGTGAACTCATGTAACAAATCTGTTCAGTCACAGCTGTCCTCTCAGATTTACATATTGGGATCTTCCAGGTTTGGACTCAGTGTCACCATGAATTTTAAATTTGGGGGTGATACCTTTGCATGTTTCTACAGCAATAACTTATTAAAATAAAATTGAAAACCTAAGGGTATGCCAAATACCAGTCATGAAATATCTAAATAAAATGTAGAGCAACAATTCTTGTGCTATGTAACTGATTTTCTGAAGTCTGAAATACACTTTTTATAAAAAATGTGTTCCTATGTTGCACAGGGAAAACACTGCTGTTTCTCTGCTTGGTTACATTTTATACGTTATTGTACATAAGCAAGTAAATCAGTTGTTTTCTTAATTCTGCTGAACAATTTTCCTATTAAACATTTTATTTCCTGTGCTTTCAATAAATTAGCCAGGACCATCTTAAATGGTTACCAGGGAATAATCTTCAGTAAAAGGCACAAACAGCTTAGATCCACCTCCACACCGGGAGACCTTCAAAAGTTTTACCTAAGTTGGAGAGCAAGACCAAGGTTCATGTCTTTCAGACTGCTGAATTCTGAAAATTGTTGAAGCAACAGCTTCCCAGTTCTGATAAGCGTGCTGAGCACATTTATGACTACCATGAAAAAAGACAGTAACATTTAAATCCTCCTCAAGCTGCTAATATATGTTATTAACTGCTTGCTCATGTTAATTCACTGAAATTACTCGTTTCTTATTGCTGTTTCAACCATTCAATTTTTAAGCCTGTAATCCTGAAATCATATTCCAAGTGAATCAAAGTTGCTCTGCAACTGTTAACAACCGGCTCATCCCTCCACTGACCTAAGCGTGAATAAGAAAGATTAAACTGTCGGAGATCTATTTTCCATATTAATTCCTCAGAATACAGACTTTCCATGCAGCACCAGACAAGTCTGTGGTGCAATGTAAACACAGTGTTTAGACATTTGCTATTTTTGATGTGGGTTTATTTCTGTGATACATACTTTCCTTCCTGGATGATGCAAATTATCTCACAAACATCTGTCAATCTCAGCAAAGTGAATTACTAGATCATTTAATATACACCTAACTTTCAAGTAAACACACGACGGAACACGTCTTTCAAGATTATCAAACTCTGAAAACACTTCTTTTAGTGCATTTTCTTTATACCAAGTTGATATGGATTTATGACCATATTTGCAAAGACAGTGCTACAGAGTGGATCCTGCAGTATTTATTTAGAAAAAATACATGGGACACAAATAACTAACGCATATTTCAGGCATGCCAAACATGATATACCTAACAATGTCTGTTCCTGATGTCCTTGAAGAGCAAAGTTGACCTCTTGAAAAACAAGAATCTTCCCTTTAGAATTCCATTGCTAAAATATTCCATCACCTCAAAAACATAAATAGCAATTCCTTCTAAATTGTAACATACTGAGAAAAACAGAATTATCTTCTGAAGTCATTCCCATCCACTCTATTCACCCTTTACCTCATATCACTCTCTGTCACCCTGAGAAGCAGGACTGTGACTAACGGCAAGTAATGAGCAGCTGGTAAATGTGTAAGCAAAATAAAGTGTTCCATATACACAGTCCACATAAATATTCTTATAATAAAAAGGGTAAATATAGATTTATATTTGTCCTTATATTTGCTACATTTATCCTTAAGGTTAAGATTTACCCGTACAGAAAAATAATAGCTTAACTAAAGCTACGCTATTACTCCAGGTTGTCAAAGCTAGTGGAAATGTGTACATACGCATGCTCACACTCTGTAAACCTGGCTTACATTGATTTAGATTGCAACATTCTATCTTTAGACAAATAGGAGCAAACTGAGTATACACTAAACCTAAATGGCTTAAAGAATCCTACTAACTGGCACAATGTTAATTTTCTTTTGTGTATCATTAGCACACCATTTTTACCTTAAGAAGTTAATAGGAAATATTGCATGACAACATTCAGTGTGCACAATGTCTGCAAAAGACAAAAAACTGGCACTTATATCCACATTTAATGCCCTTTGAATCTTTCATAATACTGATAGCAAGGGAAAAATAAGTACAGTAACAGTGGCATATATATATATATTTTGCTGACTGACATTCAGAAAAGCTGGGCTGGGAAAGTGGAAAGCTTGCCCCACTACCCTATGCCCCCCCAGCCAGCTATATCAAGTATGCTGCAAATTTTTCTCTTACACTCCTCCAGGCCCAGTGGGACAATATAAGCCAGAAGATTGTACATTACAGCTACCACAAAACAGCATCAGCACCTGGTCACAAATACCGTGTACATTCAGGATCACGACACTGCTGCAGCATTTTATAGTGCCCATTACTAGAATCCACAGGCAGATGTGGTGCACAAGCATAGTTCACTGAAGTTATAAGAAAGTCCAAAAAATAATTATTTTTTAAAATGAGTAAACACTGTATTGTAAAAGCCTTTAGACATTCTGAGAAATGTACTAATAACCTACGTGCTCTTTAACGACTACCTCTATACACCTTAATTCCCCACTGAAAGCCCATAGCTAAGTACTCATTTTTTTACTTATTCATATCAACTGTTATAATGGCTCACATGATAAGAAAAGAGCAACTAGAAATTTTACTAATACATTCTCCTTTAAACCAAGCTTGAGTTACTGCCATGAACTTTGAAATACTGATTGTTTGAGTCATGCCAAAATAAATCCTCTGCTAGTTTAGTTCTGTTTTATCTAATAATAGGCTAACTCAAGGTAGGACATTGGCATCTAGCCTAATCTGTCTTAGAATCTCATCTTTTCTCATTTAGGTACTTTCTATGAAAACAAGCTCTTCGTGGACATTTCTATAAAGCATTGTAACAGCATGTGAAAAATTGCTCTTTAATGTCAAATGACACTAAGCCCTGTGGAATCAGGTGCCACAGAATTTCCACAGAGTCCTTATGCTGAAACCAATTCCCATTCCAATAATTAAATCCAGGCAGTTGGATTTGTTTGGAGGGGTTTTTTTTAAGATTTAGAATTCTGGTTTTGTACTGAGCATATCTGAAGAGAGCATTAAATTTTTTTCCACTCAGAACTACTGTAAGAATCAGACTGAAATATACAGAAATGTAAGGTAGATATGCACTTATCACCTACACAAGCAATGCTTCTTTTTTGGCAGTATGCCTATGCAACCTTTTCTTAGAGAACTCAGATTATTTTTTTTAATTACATATTTATGGTCTTTCTCATTTGTGTCTGGAAAATGTCAAAAAATTTTCTGCCCTAGGAGAAGATTGAGAGTTAGGTCTTTTCAACCTGGAGGACGCTTAGGAGGAACCTCATCACAGTTTTCTAATACTTAAATGGTGGCTAGAAAGAGGACAGAGGTTCTTCACAAGGAGCCACATGGAGACAACAAGGGGAAATGGGTAAAAGCTGCACAGAAGTTTCATCTTGATATAAGAAAGAAATTTTTCACAGTGAGAACACAAAGTCAACCTCCCCATTGCCAGAGGTTTTTAAGATGTCACTAGGCAGGGTGCTAGATAATCTCATCTAGGCTTCCTTTCCCACAAAAGGTTGGACCAGATGTTTTGATGTCCCTTCCAACCTGGGCTGTTCTATGATTCTGTGAAAACAAAGTATTATTTTCCAAAATTACTGCAGAAATAGTGAATAAGGATTGAGCAGAGAAAAAAAACCTAGAAAGGTCCTAAAAAGGCATCCAAGAATGGCAGAATCTAGGAAGCTATTGTGTCAGCTACATTTGTTATCAGTTACATTTAATTTTATTGTATAATGTGTTCACTGTGGCAAATGCATATCATGCTTGGGTCTTTTACCTTACACCGGAAGAAATGGCAGTTCTTTCAAATATTTCACTAGATAGTGTCTTCTTTACCTCTAACGTGGCAAAAAGTACAAGCAGACACACAGAGGAAGCTGGTGGGTATGACAACAGTTCAAAGCCCCAGATGAGTCCTGACATCTAGATGTTGCCTCTCAAAGAGGCAAAAAGTGTTATCAGTTACCACCTCTCTTGCCAATACTTTCCCTATTTGAATCTTGGTGGGAAACACAATCTCCCATAGCTGTATGTCCTCACATCTGATGACTCCTAGCTCCTTACCTCTGACTGCATGCCATTCAAAACTTGCCAACACATCATTTTACCATTTCTCTTAGTGTGAAATGTAGTTCTATTTTACATCCTTGCCAAATATAATCTAAAGTTAGCAGAATATATGTGCTATAACCACATGATCTCTTTGGGCAACTTGCTCTATTTTTTTTTTCCAATGCAAAAAAACCCAATAAAGATGTCTCATTAGCAAAACCAGCTCCCTAACATAGATCTATTTTAGGTTACACAATTAATACCTCTGATGCTATCACACTTGCCAGACACTGGAATTCTTCCTTCACTTCCTTGATGAGATGCCAAGCACTTTGCAAAGCTTCTTTCTTATACTAATTCATGCAAAGCAAGAATGGAATAGAGATTAAGAAAAATATGAAAACAGAAGTAATTTGAACAAGAAAGCCATATGACCTCAGAGATGAAACTTATATTCTAAAAACTTCGAATACAAGAAATAAATGTAAATGGTGAAGTCTGGTTCTTATTTAAGGAGACTGCTGCTACTACTAGCAAATTCTTCTATAGCATTAAAAAAGGATTAAAAAAGTTGAAAGTTCAAATAGAAGAAATTCTAGGAAAGAGACTACAACACATTGGAGGAAGAGTCACATCTCAAAAAATATAGAAAATATTAAAAATATTGAACAAAGGATTCTATCTTACACAGAAAAATATATGGGAGGAAAAAAAGCATGAAAAACAAAATGACCAGATTTTTTAATGTAAATGCTGGTCTCACAATACAGAAACATTATAAAAGAAGATAACATGTCACCAAATTGAATGGCTCAAGGTTTAACAATACAAGTGTACTTCAATCTTTGTAGTGAAATCAACCCTCATTAGTAATAGACGAACATTAGTGCAGTATCTTCTTATATTTCGGTGCCCTAAATGAAGTGAGTTGAAGTTTAGCTAATCACCCACTGACCGAATGATCGCATCATCCTCGCATCAAAACAAGAGCTATTAGTTTCAGAAAGGTCAGACTTCATTATCTTCCTCCTTCCATGGAGAATACTTCAGGCTTGTGAAGGAGACAGCAGTGCCAAGGAAAGCCGTCAGTACTGGTGTCTCTACTATGACCTGCAAAAGTCTTTTATACTCTCTATTTACAACCTTCCACCACTACTAGAAGTCTCACAAGCATTACTTAAAAATACTGTTGACAACTTGACAACTGAGTAAAGAACTGCAGACATTATGCTGTGGACTGGGCACAGGCCAGATGAATCATGACTTTATTAAAACATGCAGCTTGTTAAGAAGGTATCACAACTGACACAGTTGATATCTGGTAGGTTGCTCAGAAAACTTTCATAAAATGATTTTGAATTAAGGTTTCTATACAGGACATCAGCATACTCATATCAGCAGCACAGACCTGGTGATCCTCATTCCCCTTCTTTTTCAGGGTCTCTAATAGGCCCCAGTGGACTGGAGGCAGAGGACTGTAAGAACTCAGCAAGTGAAGCTGACTTAATGGATTCTGGTTTATTTCTGCAATCCTCAAGGCTCTCAAGATAGCAGGTGCAAACTTAGAATAATGAGCTGTAGATGAAATAATAATTGGGCAAGTTCTATCTTGTAATCGATCTGCAACTACTTTAGCAACAGCTGTGTGTGTATCCAAAATATATCCCGTAGTACTGTACACTGAGTGAATGGCAGCTAGACAGTCCTCCTCAGAGCACCAGCCAGCCACCAAGTCCTGCTGAACCTTTTCAAGTAGATCATTCTGTAGCTGGAAGTGGCCCTGATTTTCCAGCTGGTTATATAATTTTGTCACCAGTTGTCCATCCTCATTAGCAATCAGGTGCAAGTACCGCTCAAGATTGGAGGACTTCAAAATATCTACTGCTGGTGAAGACGTGGGAATTAATTTTTTTCCCCTCAAATCATAAACACCTGCTCTTATGAAGTCAGTCAAAACATTGTTTTCATTGGAAGCACAAATACATTTTCTAATAGGAATTCCCATCATTTTAGCATACAAAGCGGCTAATATGTTGCCAAAGTTTCCTGTAGGAATGCAAACATCTACAGGGCTTCCAAAAGGAATAATAGCTTGATGAACAAGATCAAGGTATGCAGAGGCATGATAAACTATCTGAGGAAGCAGTCGTGCCCAGTTTATGGAGTTTGCTGCAGCCAAGGCTGTCCCATATTCTACTGTAAGAAAGCCAGTATAGTCAGAATTAGTAAAGATTTGCTTTATAGCTGTCTGGCAAAAATCAAAATCAGATTTGACACCTACTGACCAGGCATTTTCTTTCTGACAGCCAATCATCTGTGATTTTTGGATTGGGCTTACTCCATCCTCAGGAAAAAAATTAATCACAGCAATTCTCTGTTTGTCGGTGTCATGGAGACGACTAAAGCCATCTAGGACAGCGCTCCCAGTGTCACCAGAAGTAGCTACCAGAACCAAGTAATTGCAGCTTCTGGGAATGCAGTATGCAAATATATGTGGCACCATCTGTAATGCAAAATCTTTAAATGATGCTGTTGGTCCATGAAATAACTCAAGGAGAAACTGATTTCCTGCCAGATGCCGAACTGGGGCAATTTTAGAACAAGTAAAGTTTTCTCCATAAGCAGCTTCAATAATTTCTGCCAGCTTAGAAGGAGGAATATCAGCAGGATGTATGCACCTTTCTAGCATCACCTGGGCTCTTTCCATATAAGTTGCTTCTATTAGGCTTTGCCATTCTCCAGCAGTGAATTTTGGAAGTCCTCTCTCAGGAACAAAGAGTCCTCCATCAGGGGCTAAGCCCTCAGTAACAACATCACTGAAATATTTATGACAGTCTTTTTCCATACTCCTTCCAGACCTACTAGACCTAGTTGAAATGAAAGTTTCTAGTTCTGAGTTTTGATATCTCTTCACAGCATCAAGTACCTTTTCTGCTACAACCTCTGCTGCAACATCCCCTCCACAAAGAACACGAATGTCGTACCACCTTTTGTAGAACTGCTTCCTAAACTGAAGTATGTCCTTGAGAGAAATACCAAGGGACTGGCCCACAATGCGATCCACTTTCATTGATTTCAGCCTGCTCATGATGACTGTTGTGGGCACATCTAGATAGACAACTATTCCAGTTTTCTTCATATGCTGCATGCTAGCAGCATGCATTGGGTTGGACCCAGTAAGGGAAATGACACTTCCAGATGCTGAAAACTTCAACAGGGCTTTTCCTTCCTCCTCTAAAAATTGCTCGTTACCAACATCCTGAAGTTTTTCCGACACACTCATATTCCAGGTTGATTCAAGGACATCATCATCGATGTCTATGACAGGGCAATCTAGTTTCTGGCCTACTATTCTCCCAATCGTTGTTTTCCCAGCACCCGGAGGTCCCATCAGGATAATATTTTTGTTTCCAACAAGAGAATGGCTTGAGAACCATGACTTCCATATCTGTGCAAATGCAACAGGTCTTGAAAGCACCACTTTTAAACTCACGCTGAAAAGACTGTTTTGGGTTATTAGTCTTAAAGGCCGATACTGAGCAAGGTGCAACATCTTCTGCTGGGTTGGTTTTTGGTTGGTTTTTTTTTCAAGCCAACTTGATAATCCACTTAACTGCTTTAAAAAGAAAAAAAACAGTAATTAGTCCTTCAGTAAACATCTAGGAAAAAACCCTAAAGGATGTGTAATTCAGAACAATAAGAATTCAAACATAAATCCAGTTATGACTTAGGGAGGTATTTTTCAAAATAAGACTCATTCCCCTCTCCTGCATAGTTCTAGCTCGCTTCCACTGACAAATCCAACTTCAAATAGCTCATGTTCTCAAGGTAAACAAAGACCTCCAAACCTAACACTACAATACTATTTGAAATAATATTGTTTATAGGAATTAAAAATCAATTAGTTTTTCCTGTAGTAGACTTAGTTGAAGATTAACTAGATTACCTTCTTGTAATCAAAATGTCAACAAAATATACATTTGTCTCACCTCCCAAGATACATTGGTTTCTTATACTTTCTAAGAAAACAAATGCAAGATCCACTTAAATACACAAAAGACTCACAGACTTGTGCAACAGCAAAGCTAGAAGAGCTGCATCCAATTCTTCTGAAGGGATAGCAAACCAAGCAAGTGATTTGTGAAGAACTCCTATAATGGAATTGTATTGAGTGTAGTTTGTGTAAAGTGACAAGAGAGAGAAAGAACACATCATGAAGACACTCTACCCTCAAGAGAAAAAGTCACTAGGAAAGTTGTATCTCCAACAAAGTCTAAGCAAGAAGCTCTCAACACTGTATTCTGTATGCTTAGAGAAATCAACACAAACAGTATCAGCACAAATTGCAGCACACGATTTGTGCACGATGTTTAGGGCAAAAGGGGAAGGACTCAAAATCTCCATAAAGTTCAGGTTGGGTGGGGGAGAAACAAGCACAAATTTGCACAGAAAATCCCTAAAGAGTAATTTTTTATTTTAGGTAGACAAATAAGTATCACTTTGTTACTGTTAATTTTTCAATATTTATGACAAAAAATGCTTAAGGAAAAGCAACACTGAACTGCCTTTTAGGAAATTATGAAGCTTTAGATGGAAAAATCCAACTCAGTTCTTGCTCATTAACTTAAAAAAAAAAATATACATATAAAATATAAATATTTATTTGCACTATATATAAAATCAGCTTTTTAAAAAATGAATACTTATAAGTTGCTAGAGTCTGCAATACAAAGAGATGGTTGACTAAGCTGCAAGTTGTATTTTTTTTCCTCCTGGCACTGTAACATGTAACCAAAACAGCAACCAGTAACTCTTAATAACTACATTTTAAAGATTCAGTCTGTTAGCATTCCAGCATTTGCTTTGCACTGCTTATTAAAATATTATAGTTTATATACCAGCTACTTTTAGCAGTAAAAAAAATTTTCATGAGAAGGTGTTTCCCTGCATTGATCAGGACAGACTAAAAAGAACAATTAAAGGAATTCACTAGAGACTAGGCTTCCACATCCTTCAATTGTTCAGGCCTGTTCTCTAGATGCTCTCCAGTCCAACAGCCTTTTATCACTGTGAAGAGCAGAAGGTGGCCTGGAACTGCAGTAGAAGCCAGGTGAGCACCCAATGGGAACTGCATCATCTTCCAAAGACCTATTCGTGATTAATCCAATTTACAGTTGTCACACCAGTCCTTTAAAGACCCTGCTGTTCTCCACCAGTGTGCATAACATCAAATGACTCCAGAGACACAGGTCACAAATGACATTCAAAAATGACACAGAAGCTCAAGTTCTGTAAGAGCAAGGCACAAAAACAAAGACTCTTTGCTTCCAGATGCTCCTTGCTCTAGATAGTGTTCTATGCTCCTTGCTCTAGATAGTGTTCTGTGTTCCTCAATCTGTCTTTTACACTCTACTCTCTCTACCAAACTATTAGCATACATTACAAAGTCAAAGGACTTCTAATAATTTAAATCTTTGCATTTGCTCACTTCTGCATGGAGAAATGAGCTTGCAAACAGTAAGTATCAGTGTTTGCATACAGTGCTGTGACATGATAAAGATGCTGTAATTGCAAGGCATAGATCAGAGTAGAGATGGGCATGTCATACTGTATAGTTTTTTCTCAATACTTGTAAAAGTATAAGGGAAACATCTTGTGTAGATGCAATGTAAGTTTTTTTCTAATAGTTATTAAAAAACAATCTTCAAAGAGTAGTTGTAATATTCAGTATCATTATAAAGCTGTACTGTAATAGTAATGCACTCTAGCTCTGTATGTATGTATTCACTATAGGGCCAGAAAGAGAACTTCGTATTAAACTTCCAGATTTAAAAAATTTAGACAAAATTGTAGTGATTTTATTTCTTGAATGTAAGAATCACTTCAAGAACTGTGTGTGAATTAAGGGAGTACAAACCGTGCTAAGCATAGTGACTTGCCTACCATGTCTAGTTGCACTACAGATTCACTTGGAGGTGCAGTTACTTGGTGTGCACTATACAGCTGCTGGATGTAATATCTGGACTGCTTCATGAATCTAGGCCATAGGTATTGTTTGAAATCAATTTAGTTAATTTGGTGCAAAAATTTGCAGGGAAGTCCTTTATTCAGCTACTCAATTCAACCTATTCCAGTACAATCCAATTTTGTACCCATGTAAATTACATGTACACAGAAGCTTGCAATCACTGAATGCAACCTGTTTCTTTGGAAAAAATTTTTGTTCAGTTGGCAAGACTTTACTGCAAAAGCAGCTCGAATTAGACCGTATCGCTGGTAGAGTTTACTGGTTTAGCTAGAACACCGAGCCATCTAATTTTATATACAAATCCCATGCCAAAAGGCTTGGGGTTTTTTGAAGCAGAGCTTACATCCACACCTGCGATGAAATTCTAAGTTTTGACAATACACCTTGAGCCTTCACTTGGATGCTGACAGCATCTACATATCATTAGCAGTTATCCACAATTTTAATAACCATTGCCGGCTGACAGGAGTTCTAGTGAAAACCAGGCTTTGATACTGATATAGACACAAAGTTTGCAACAACACAACATACAGTTAAAATTCGGTTACCAAGCAAGTCAGTGGCAGTTTGCAGCTGTCAAAGACCTCAAGGCAGTTCAAAACTAGTAAGTTATCCTATTTCAAAATTGTTAACACAGGACAACTTCTATTTGACTTTTCTCAGAGCTTGTATGCATGGGAAAAAAACCCCAGCCAACTGCCAATCCCACAGCAAACCATTCAACTTCAGTCTTCTCGTGATCATCCTACAAACCAAGATCCTGCAAAGGTTCCCGACTCACCACGGCGCTCCCTCCCGCCTCACCGTTTCGACGCCGCGAAGGTGTCAAAGGGCGGGAGGGAGGAAGGGGCCGGCCGGGCCGCTCCGCGCCGGGGAAACGCGACACCACAGAGCCGGGTGAGCCGCGCCCCCTCACGCACCCCCTCGCCCGCCCAGCGCAGCCCCGGGCTCCCCACCTCCCCTCCGAGCG